TCCTTCCTTTCCTTTATGCTCATCTAGGTAACCATAGTGTGAACGGCTTTGAGGCACCCCAAAACAGCAGAGAACTGATTTCCCTGGCCCAGCCTCCTGCCCAGGGTGCTCAGTTATAACATATCACCTGGCCGGGCTGCAGCGCCGTCCCCCAGCTCTCCAGGCCTTGGACCTGAGAGCGCTGAAAGCCAAGCTTTGGCTTCCTCCATGTGTGACCATAACAAAATCGATGCAGGAAAGGCACAGATCTCTGTCTCATCAGCAGCCTTCCTGCATGAAGAAATGGTCAGGAAAAAAAAAAAAAGAACAATATTGCTGAGGTGGAGAAGAAAGGGACTGAAGATAAGGAAGTCTATGACTTTAGTGTCTGATGCATCATTTGGAGTCACTAAAACCAAACATCCATGTCACTGAGAGTTTGAATCTACCGCTCTTAGAGAACAGCTAACATTATGCATATGGATTAAAAAAAAAAAAAAAAAAAAAAACCCCCCCCCCCCCCCACACACACACACTAAAAAGGACATCACAGATTGCTTTGCTGAATGAACCTGTACCATAGAACCCTTCAAGCTCCTGAGGCTGAGGCACATTCCAAACGATGTGGAGTATTGTGAAGAATCCTGCAGAACACACCCTCAGCTCGCCACCAGTGCTCCAGTAGAGCAGCTGACCCGGAACACATTCTCTTCCAGGCTATTCAGTAAGGTTGATCCTAGAGAAAAACACCCTCCAACTGCTCCTGGCAGCACACCAGCACAGGCTGCTTTAACAGAGCCACGTCGTAAGGCCGCACATGAGAAAAGCAGGACGAGGCCAGCCACATCAGTCCATATAATTCAACACTGTAGGCTGAATCTTCACGTCTACCATATGATAAACCAGACTACAACCACAGAAACAGTTTATCTGAGCAGGAGTACAGTTTCAGGGAGAGGGGATGGGAAGGGAACCACACTTCTGTGGCACTAGAACTGAAAGGGGTGCTCAGTTGCTCAGAATGTAAAGAAATGCTGCAACTCGGCCAGAGGAGGCATTGAAAGAGGGTTTATTCAGCTTTCATACCGTGTGTGCCTACGGACACAGCGCACAGGGACACCCTCCAAGTGCCGCCAGGATGGGGGATGCACAGCACGAGGCAGAGGCAGCGTTAGGGGATCTGCCTGGCAGGTTTTCTGGTAAGACCTCCTGCCTAGCTCCTAAACAGCAAAACCGTCATCCGCCAACTTTACATACATTTACATAACGTACCAGAAGCACCGCAACATCATTTTCAAACAGGATACGTGTCACCATGCAATTTGTCCACTCGGTTTCATGTTCTCACTGCTAAATCAACCATAAATAAAGCACGTGGAAATTCAAGGTGGTTTTAAAAAGTATCAGTCCATTTCCTTAGAAAATCTAAATTTTATTATACATACTGTATTACACTGAAAATACGTACCCAAAGATGGAGTATTTTGAATTTACAACTGTACAAAAGAAATTAATAGAAAACATACGGGCTATGCTTATAGATGTAACATTTTACAAAATGACATTTCTTGTTAAAGGCACCAGATTCCCAGAGGACTCTGGCTTAACATTTTCTAGTCTTTCTATTTTTCCCCAGTCAGATCTTACTATGAAAGTGTGGTTCACTCAAGCTATATAAAGTCCAAGTCTCGAGCTTCATTGGACAAACAGTCTGCGCTCTGATGTGACCTAGCGAGAGAAACTACCAATTTCACATAGAGGCATCAGCTACTGAAGGCTCCCTCCCCATCACATCCAGCATCATATGATACTTAACCAAAATATTAAATGGCAAAGCTACCTGTGAAAGCCAAGTTAGCCCACAAATACTGGCCCAATACTAAACTGTTAACCATACCAAGCCTGGACAGCTTTGTATGGAGATAACTACAGAGCGCTACAGTAGGAAAAACTGTTCTGGCTAAAGGGGAGAAGGAACCTGTATCCGAACTCTTGCTCAGCATCCCCTTGGGTTTCCCTTCTTTATCCACCTTGTCTCAGTTTCTGGTCCTCACAGCACTCCTTAATTCAGACGGAGCCCAAAGAAACCAGCACTTTGCTGTGGAACAAGTTGTTCAGGCAACTTGGATATGAAGGTATGTGTTCTTTCTTCCCAAATAATAAAATTCAGGACAAGACAGGGCAAAACAATCCATCTTCATTGCTTCTTTATCTGGTATTCCACACTAAAATCAAATGGGCCAATTCTTCATATCTTGCCTAGACTTGCATATCAGATGTTTTTTATTAGCAGAGACAAGAAAAACTGGAACATACTGCCTTGCTGAGGTCCAAAAATATACCAAGGAAGCTTGGGCTTGCTACTTCCTAAGACTTCATGCGTGGAAAATGGCAAGGGAGACTGATGCAATCAAAACTTTAATGTGAAACTCTGAACCACTACTCTGGTCAGTCTGTTGATGCGTCAACAAATCATTTTAGAGTCAACTCTCTCTTCATTTAATTTTGCAGCACACATTGAACCTCACTGTATAAAATTCAGCCAAGCAACGGAATATTTAAAACAAAAAATATCAAGCTCCAGGGCCAGGTTTCATTCTGTTCATTGCACTGAATCTGAACATTAGTGTTGCCCTTTCTGAATTGTCTGGCACTATCCCTACTCGCAGTCAGGCTGGCTCAAAGATTTCATTGGCTGAGCTGAAGAGCTCCTTGCATTTTTATTTCTTTCTAGCATCATTATTTTAAATGATATTGAAAAGGCTTCCCTTCTATAGTCATCAAAAAAAAAAAAAAAAAAAAAAAAAAAAAAAAAAAAAAAAACACCACCCCCTCTCAAAAAAAAAATACCGGGAATAATGCTATGGTGTTGAGGGTTGAGGGTCATAAAGTCACTTTTAAAAATAAGTTATTTTTTGCAGTGTCAAACTGTCTCATCCTATTGACCATAACCTCACTGAATTAAAAGTATACTAAGCTCATATTTAAAATTTCTGTTTGCTGCATGCAGCTATTTCAGACAAGCGGGCCTGAAGACTGGCGGTGTCACACAGCAGAGAGCAGCAGCCGCCGCCGCCGGGTATCGCGTCCCACGCGGCAGCTCTCAGGTGAGCTGCAGTCCAGGAGGAATTCCTGAGCCCTCCCCATCCCGACAGCACAGACCTGAAATGCAGACCTAGTGGACCAAGTACATTTAGTGAAGACCCCGAATTTGCAATGGGAGAACATACCCCTCAAATCAACCAGTTATCTAAAATTTCTCTTCCTTAAAAGATACATTTGATGCTTGTAGCTTATCTAGCAAGCAAGAACAATTAAGACAGTTACATACATGCTTACTTTACCAAAAACTGATCATCACAAGAAGCCATTTAAAAATTTGAGTGCAGACAAGAAAGGGAATGTCATTTGTATGTAACCCTTTTCGTTAAAAGACTCATACTTTCATATTCTATTCCTAGGCCATTCTGTGTAACATATTATTATCAATAAGTTATAGCCATTGTGAAACGTGTTTATAGTGAACTCATTCTAAAAACTAAAACCCACAAATCCTTGCTCATAAGGCTGGTTTTTAACTGTTTAAAAGACAAATTGCAACCAAAATTGCAGTTTACATTGCCTCTGCAACAGGGTAGTCAAGCAATGGAAATTTCCCATTGCGACAGGTAAATGTGGCGTCCAACTCACACACACCTAACACTCCACCATGGTGGCATCCACCATCAAGTAACTCATGCACTATGAGTTAGAACATTCTGCCCATTTGCTCAAAGTTAACAAATCTACACGTTTGGTCACACCTTAAAAAGCTATAAAACAGATTTCCTTATTATTTATGCTCTCCCTGTTCTGATGGATAATAGGTTTGAAAAGCTAAAAACAAAAATGCAATTAAAATCCCAATACAGAAGGTTAAACACTCATCAAAATGTCTTTGTTAGTATACAAGTATACTGATGGGATTTGGTCTGCTTTCTTCTTAGGAAAAAAAGAAAGAAACAAAATTAAGAAATCCCAGCCTCACAGCATCCTTGAAGCTCCAGACAGCCTCCAGTTAGCCCAAGGTGCCTCCTGAGCCCCTCCTCAGGTAACTATTACACTACTCATCGTCATGCTTCTTCCTTCTGAGCACTATTTTTTAACAAGTGCAAGTGTGAGCACTGTCAGAAACCAAAGTTTTAAGCCAAAGTCTCCAATGAAGGGTGAATCCAGTGCCTAAAGGATGAATCTTGAACTATGTACTGAAGCCCTGTCAATAAATGCAAGCTATACCTGTACAATTAAAGCAGGATTATACCAGGGGTGTAAACACTGTTAGAGATAAAAACGTGCTTCTACCAGAAGGGGACAAGTATAAGGCACATTTATATGCCAGTGTAATTGCAACCACGTTAGTGGTTATACTGATGTAACTGCACTGGTAAGAACCACAGCTATACTCATTAAAGTTTGATTTTAGATTAGAACTGGGTTATCAAATACCTGATGACTGCTCACCAAACTTACATTAACACTGCCTCAAGACAACAAACCTTTCTGACCATCTGTATTCAGAGATGTGTCATTCAGTCACCACTGGGGCCATTTTTTAAAGTAAGCTGCGACTGCTCCTGGGATGAACAGGTTTCATATCCTCTCATGTTGTCCAAAGGGCTTGCTATCCAAGAGCCACAGATTAACCTCTGCCCTAAAACTCCTACGGTAAAGAGCTATTACCTCCAGATAGCTACAAGCCACTGCTACTTTCATTTTTTTCTGGTAATCTTAAATTTGATATTTTTCTTCAGAAAATTATGATACTTAGTTTCTCTTTCTCTCAATGTATGCCAAATATTGGTTAACTCATGCTGGGCATAGACATTCACAATATAGCAAGGTTAACAAAGCTGCACAATCCCATTCTATGACCCAAGCATAAATAAGCTAAACATACAGTGGGTACCGTTAGACACTAGACATCTACCACCTGCAATATTTAGTTTTACTGCACTATGGCTTGGTGTTTTGTTAAGTGTCCATTCTTACAATAGAACCCATGTAGCCAAGGAAAACATTTTTACAATAAAGATCTGTGCCCTTATTTAATGGTAAACTGTGAATGAGTGCGCAGCAGTCTTTTCCTCAGGTACTTGGAAGTAAACTGCTCCCATATGTAATCTTGCAGCTGTGATCTCCATTTCTGGCATCTCAAACTGCAGGAAAACAAAACACAGCAACAAGACTCCCATCCCACAAGACTGCCTCTCCCTTCCCTCCCCCTGCTTTCTGATTTTAAGGGGAAAAAAAAAAAAAAAAAAAAAAAAAAAAAAAAAAACCTTCTTCTGTGTTCACTGAGCCCAGTTATGTTGAAGAGCCACAACTTCTACTCTGGAGGGTAATAAGAAACGTACACACGAATGCCATTTTGTACAGTTGACATACTCTATGAGCTGGTTGACTCTAAGCTTGATTTGGTCCAGTCTACTGTTGCTGCCTGTCTTACGAAACATTAGTTATAGGTTTGTACTTCTTGAATCTGGTCCATTCACCGGTAGCATAGTTCATTTCAAAGACTGTATCAACCAACATAGTGGTGCTGCCAGTGCCATCTGCCTTTGGTAAGTCTTCTGTATGCTCGCTAAGTTTAATCTGGATGATGTCACCTTGCTCTTGGCAAGGATTCTCTGCAAAAACAAGAATAAAGACAAGTTAAACACATTCCAGCACTTTTTTAAAAGGTAAAAAGCACTTAATGGAGATTCAGTGCCTAACACTGGAGCAGGGAGAGGAGACATGACAAATCTGACAGTGAGTACACATCATTAACACATGTAGCCACACAAAGACCCTCTTGCTTGCATGACTCAGTTTTCGGTATACCTGAAGAAAACCAAACCCAAAAAGATGAACGTCAGGGCTGAACTAACTGGAAGAACAATAAAACGGGCAAGAACATACACCAAGAGCATTCCCATCTCGCAAACTGCGAGACAAGCTTTTATTCAAATCGAATTTTATAAACCTGAATTTAAAAAAGTGATTTTATGTGGAATACATATAACCAAAAGCCTCAACAATTCTCAGTGGTTTAGGAAGCGCAAACAGTTTCACTGAAATCCACTCATCCAGAAAAACTCCCTTCCCATCCAACATGAGTACTGACTGCTACATTTTAAGCTGACAGTTAAGGAAGCCCAGGTGTATATATATGGAAGCTCAGTGTTGGCATATACCCAGCTTCCAGAAGGTGTCAACATTATTATTTTTATATGCATAAAAACATTCATACAATAAATGTATATACACATATAAAGTTACACTGCATTACACAAAAAATCCTTGTAGATATTCAAGAACCTCTTTCATATTAAGCACTTCGGTTTGGTGTGTGTGTATATATATATTTTTTTTAAAATGCAGGAGTCATCACAGTAACTCTACCTTGGTCATCTTGAATTACTTACTGTATTGATCCAAATGCATGAGCCACACAGGCTCCAGTGACAGAGCCCTCAAATACCAAATTAGAAACCAGATGAGAGTTCACTTAATGACTCCTGTGCCCATTCTTATCTTACAGCTGATACTCTTCTGGGTAAAACAGCTTTAGTCTATCAAAGCCGACATATGACAGGATCCAGCTATGAGACTGCTTATCTTCCTTATCTTGCTGAGATTCACAGCACCTATGGTGATCTATGGTCTCAGAAACAATAGTTGATGCATTTCTAACGATGAGGAGTTAGTGAAGAAGCTCTGTACTATGAACCTTGCACCTCAACTTGCCCTGAAAGGATCTGCATTCGTTGGTCCTCTGAACATAATACTAGACCCCAACCACTCCATTCACTCCTCTCACTGGCTGCCTTGTTTCACCTCAGTCCTTAAGCAGTGATACTGTGTGTTTAGTCACACATACACCTCATACACAGTGGCTCCTCTGATAGAGGATTTGACTTGTATCCAAAACAGGCCCTCAACATTCCCCAAAATTATTGTGTTAAAATGTAAGACTGAAGTCCAGGATACTGCTAAAGCAGGATATCTTCATTCACATATGCACATTTAGAAGTGCTAAAACATATTTCAGATGTAGATATTAAAAGGCAACTAATTTAGTCCCAGTACATACCTCTGGATCCTGCCATGAATCCAAGTATAAGAGCCTTTTCTGGCCTTGTAACTTTGTTTGCAGTCTTGAACATTTCCTGTGCAGCATACATTTGCTCCCTCTGCAACAGATAACAATATGAATTCCACTGAAATAAAACACTGTATACTAGTACGTACTGTATTAATGTACTCAGAGACAAGCATATATGTTTATAAAAACTCTTTTAATGCCAAGGCTTTCCCTCTTTGGGGCACATCCCTATCACTTACAATAGGGGTGATTAAATTCTCAAAGTCAGGAAAACAACCAACCTTGAATAGATTAAATGTTTCTATTATTTTTGAGTCTTTTGTGACACTAGTGAAAAAAAAGAACACAAAAAACCCAACCCTGCTTCCTGCTGCAACCCAGGGTTGCAATAATTTATGGGGGGGATTTTTTTTTTTTTTTTGATAGATGAAGAGAGCTACTCAAAAGAAGTCACAGGGGCTTCTTAAGGTTCAGAATTTGCAGGCCAGGCTTACAGATGTGCTTAACAGTCTTTGAATCAGCTGTATATTGAATTAATTACCTGCTTATTTCAATCATGCACATACATACAATCATGCCATCAATAAAAAAAACTTCAGAACCTAAGGAATTACAGATGAGTATTTAGCCTCCTCCCTACCTCCAAGCTCAAAGAGTTTTGAAAAGAGAGAGAGAAAAGTTTACACCCTTGGTTAATCTACTGGTATATATTCTCTCCTACCACTGTAATGACAGGATCATTTTTAGAAGCTTAGATCATATGCAAGCAGCTGGACAACTGCTCTGGTAGAAACATGCCTTTCTCCCATTCTAGCTACCTTACTGAGTAATCCTAAGAAACATGATGAAAATATTTGTATTGAGGAACACGGTTTATATAACAAGCAACAGTAAATAAAGGACATCTTACTATAACATTAACAATGCACAACTAAAAATCTTGCAGTTAACATTTAAAGGATAGTAATGCTAATGAAGCTGCAAAGCATTCTGATTATATTTTCTTATAATTATGCAGACTCAACCTTCATGACTAAAAGGCCAGGAATTGCCAAGACACTGAATAGGCAAATAAGAAGTTGAACTTTCATATCTACATGAAAACCAGTATTTGAAACACTCAGATGTCCAAAGAAATCTATTTTTACTCACCGTGAGAGAAAGGCTTTTTTTGGGGGGTGGCTGTTGCTGAGTTTGGGGAGCCACTTGCGGTGCTTGTGCTGCAGGGGAAATGGCAGGAGGGGTGGTAGGTGTTAGGGGTGAGGTAGGTGTAGCTGCAGGAGGGTTAGAGTTACTGTTGTACATGGGCGTTCTTTGCTTGAACTGTGCAGGGAGAGTCGTGGTAGCGTTTGGAGCTGCAGGCTCTTCAGTCTGTCTGTTAGTTTGCAAGGCCTCTCGTGCAGAGCCTGCTGCAAAAAAACACCAGGATATTTTAAAATATTATTTCCATAGGAACCTATACCACCAGTGGCCTTCAAAAAGATGTAGAAATTCCATTTCTTTCATTTTAGTGCCATTATTTAATATGCTATCTAATCTCTATGTGAAAACTGTAAGAGCTGAATACTCTTTGCCCCCCTCAGCTATCTTTACAAATTACTGGAAAATTGACTTACTTTCCAATACATATTACACTGTGCATTATAATTATCAAATAATCTGTACAAGTTTTATGTTTAATGGCAACCAAATTTAACTGAAAGTGCATTATTTACTTTTTAGCTGATATTGATGTAACAACCGTACTCTAGCCCTATGGAGATCATTGTACTTTTATGCTGGAGTCAAGACCACAAAAATATTTTGTCTACTTTCACCTAATGTATCAACAGCTCCCAAAGGAAAGGGCAGTTAAGTCTCAGGCAGTAACCAAATACTTCAGATACCAGTACTTTGATGTGTATTCATTATTTAAACACTAACTGCTAAGAGGGTTAAAAGTCCACAGCACCAACCATTCCAATTTTGACCTACTTTCAGTTCATTTATTCACCTGTACATAACACAGGGAAGTTGTTATTCCAAAACTGAGTGTGGTCAGCGCTTAGGTATTTGATCATCTGTACAGCACCCAGGAATCACCCAATGCATGTTCCAGGCACCTACATTCTTTTTTGAGTCTCTTAAACGTAAGTGCAGTCTCTTAAACACCCTTCACAAATCTCACGAGGCTTGAGGTGACCCACTCCACTCCAGGCTCCCAGCTGAGTGAAAGACAGATACAGCCCAGAGCTCAGCTCCTGTCTTTTACATTAGGCTTTCAAGAATTTGAGTGAATTTGAGTCCATCACTCTCCACAATGTAGGCACAAGCACAGCACTGGTTTTCACATCTTCCTAGATACGAGCCATATTGCTAAGTGGACACTGAGCACTTGAACGTAAACATTCCTAAGGCTTAGCTACCCTTCCTGGGTGAATTTATCCATAATAACAAGAAAGTGCAAGATAAGTAACTTAAAAGTATTAGTAGAAGCTAATTGGAAATATTTTTCTAAATCCATCTGCTAGATGGATTGCTCTGTTTTATATCCAAGCTTATGGCCAACACAGCTGATATAAAGGTACGAGACACATGCCCGCTTTTAGGACGATAATCCAAAAGCTAGTTCTAACAGTTGTCTGCATGTTTAAAAGCTCTGTAGAATTATTCTCAAATTTTACTATGGTCCCGATTTGATTTCGAAAATGAATGTACTACTTAGAAACTTTGCTTACAAAACACAAAATCAAATCACTACAGATTTAAGTATCTGAGTTTGTGATGATGAAATAGTTTGTCTGCTTTAAATATATGTTTAAATAAAGCAGGAGCAACCAAATCCTTAGGCAAGCACCACTAATGAATACAAACACACAGAACAATGCCCCTTACAGGAAAAAAAAAAAAGAGTATGGTTACAGAGTTACTGATTACAGAGTGAAGGAAGTGCCTGCATATGGGATTCAGTATCTCTAAGTCTTATCATTGGCTTCCTCTCATCTCAGGATGAGTGACCTGCATAAAGTAGTATACGTCTTAATAAGGTGACTTCAGATTACAGAAAACCAAACCCATGGATTGTGTGTCTTATGTTAAGAAAAGAGCTTTGTATTCCTTGTTCATGAAAGGAGTATGATTCCCCCACACGGCAGGGAATGGAAAAATTAAGTTAGAAAAATTAAAGACTATAGGGAATTTTAGCTAGGCTTTTTCCTGATGTTGAATACAATGCCAATATTCTGAAAAATAATACTAGCTGCTGACAACAGGGAAGTGCTCTTGACTGTACTCCTTCTGGAGTTGCCAATTTTCTGGCAAAGAGATATACACAGACTCTGAACACTATTTCAGAGCCAAGTTAGCAATCACTTTTTGCATATGTCTCTTCCTATAATGACCAACAAGTTACGTCTCACATTCACAAAGAATATTCACAAAGCATGGTTAAAATATCAAACCTCCAACAAGCAAGAGTAAAAAAGAATGAATTGCAACATTGATTCTCTGTCAACTACCAGCTTTAGTAATGAATTTCAGCCAGACAGTTAAAAAAAGCAGTTAATTGAATTAAATGGTCCAGAAATAAAGTATTTGTATGAATGCTAATTATTTTACTCTTGGAAAGTTATCTAACATTGAAGTGTAACACCTTCAAAGTATGAAGGAGGTGAGCTATTATCTGCGAGACCTTTATAAAAGAACAAAAAGAAAAGGCAAAAGAAATGGAGTGTTTGATCCCAGTCTGTCTGAAATTTAGTATGTACCTGATTGTAGAAATGTATCTGACACCTGGAAACAACCACCTAGTTCGCAAGTGCATGCGCATGAATGTGGGTGTATTCCATACCTATGTATATTACCACACATCCTTAAGGAATGAAAAGGCAGCTGGATTTCCCCCAGGAGAGGAAGAAAAACAAACAGAAAGTAGCTTTTCTTGCTTGACCTAACTAACTGTCATTTTAAAAAACACACTATTTTCTTTATTTAGACTAAATGACAGGTCTGGATATCTAAAGACCAAGAACATGGTTCTCATGAATTTTGTAGATTGTTATGGTCAGTTTGATTAGAATTGAGAGACAGTATGTCTGTAAATAAGAGCAGAACTAGACAGAAAAGCTGTGTAAAAGAGATATTGAGCCCCATAGCAAAAGACTCTTTACCTGGCTGTGTTTCAGAGCTTGGAATATATGAGGAAGATGGCACCACACTGGGGGTAGCAGGTAAATAACTTGTAGAAGGCAGTGCAGGTTCATTGTTCAAAGAGCCAAGTTTCTGCAGAAGAGCAAAGAAAGCGTTACAGCCATACAGCATCAACTCATAAGCCGTCTGCATTTTAAAATTGCATTTTAAAATGCAATTTCAATATTATCTCTGCTAGGATGTTCCTTCTGGGATTTAATTATGGACAACTCTGATAAGGCAGTTTGTTATTTCAACTTACTATACAAACTTAAAATGTTAGAATTACCCTACAAAAACACACACACAAACAGCTTCGCCCCCACCAAAACCAGATCAAAGTTGCTACTAAAGGAAGAAACTGAGCCAGGAAAAAGAAAGTACCAGTACAACAAAATATGTACTTTTACAAAGAATTGAGCTGCTGTAGCTGCACCTGCTGAAACTTGCATCCTACATTGCATATTACAGCTTCCAATATAGATAACCTTGAAGACTTTAAAAGTTCCCAGTAATGCTTAAGCATTCTGTAATCTTGGAATGACTTAAACTTTCAGCAAGATAATTATTTAGAGTGTACTATGATTCTCCGATATGTTTTACTGACAGATTATTCCCTAGAGGCAGCATCTCTTCTAAACAGCGTTGCCTGCGTGGGCCATATTGGCAAACCATGAGCCCTGCAAACACCTAAGCTCAGGCTGCAAAATGCAGAGTGATCTCAAACTACCACCAATTCCTTTGTGCAATTTCTTAGCTAGCAATACGGAGATGAATGTGAAGGCCCCTGGGACACATGTACCCAGCAGGCCTAGTCAGCAGTAAGAACACAGATGAACTAGTCTGCATGCAAACTGGCAGCCAACACTGACCTAAGGGACAGATGTCATCCAGGCCCAAGCCAAAGGAAATGCCATGCTTTGTACATAGCAATTATGCACAATGATACTGCACTTTATGGAGATCTTCGATCTTCACTTTAGTCCAATCCAGCCTAGCTAAACATACGTAGGTGAAGGAGGAAAAGTTTTGGTAGTGCAAGTCTAGCAGATTTGCTTTACTGGAAAAAAAAATGGGTATTCCTGCAAAATAAATTTCAGGTGGAGTCTGCCACATTTTTCCTATCTTTCTGCAGAATGCTAAGGCCTCTACCACTGACATGTACATGCCAGTATCTGCCCACATGCTGAAAACAACATGCAGGCAGCATAGATTGCTATCCCCCAAACCATGAGACCTTCATGTGCTTACTGTTTGGCTCTAGAGGCTTGTTACCCGAATCAGAAGTCTTGTAAATAGAGTAATTTCTTCTGGCAAGCATCATATATTAATACAGACTTATAGAAAAGTATAATAGTAACTACTGTAAATTTTGTCAAGTGAAGACATTGAAGATTTTAAATAGGTTTCTCTCCTCCTGAGAGGCACAGAACAGTGGAGCAGCCTCAAGTTACGTATTGGTATCTCGAGAAACTAGCTATCGAAAGTAATTCCAGGCAAACATTTACCAAATAAAAATAAGGAGATTTCAGATAGGACCTAGCATTTTTGTAAGAAAACATGTCCCGACTAAAATATGGTCTTGCATCATGGTCTTTCCAATAAGCCTCATCTGGGGGAAAAAAAAAAACCCACTGACCAAATTACCTCTAGCAATAAGCTTTTTTCAGTACAGCAAGGCAACTTTTAGTAAGGACTGTTAAGAGAAGGAGAGGCCACCTCCAAACCTTATGAGCTCTTTGAAAAATACACTTATCGTCTTTGGATCTTTTGGACTTTTCAGTGGTAGTGGGACTTCCTGAAGCTAGCTTAAGTAAATAAATAAATGCCACACAGAAAAAAAAAATCATAGAGAAAGGTATTAGTATATGGACATTTTTCTTAAGTCATCAGATAGGTAAATTTCAAAAGATTTCCTTTGCATTTGGCTGCATGTATATACTCAGCTATCTCTCCTGGGCACAGATAAGTGGTCCTCACTGAAACAGTGTTTTATTAGGATTTCTCCCTCCAAGCTGGCAAATTTTGAATCAGGAACACACTTTCGATGTGACTGTCCCTACTGTCTCCACTTACTGCACTTGTTTGCAACACAGAATGGTCTTAAGCATACAAACTAGAACTCTTCAGATCAAACTAAATGAGAAGGACACTCCAGCTACTAACAGCTTTTCACCCCAGCAGACCAGATGGGAGCAAGTCCAAAGTATAAACTGTTGAAGAAGTTTGGTCTTGGATGTTTGGTCCTCACCATCAAATGTTTCACTATTAGGTTTCAGTCTAAAGCTGCACTACTGGCTAAACTGTGCTCCTCCAATATGGTGAGGAGGCAGTACCTGTCTACCACCCTAGGTGTTTCTAACCAGTAAAGTGATTAGTCTAATCAGTAAAGTGCAAGGTCTTTTTATTTTTGCCGATTGTTCAATGGGACAAGCTCAACAGCTATAACTAAACTGCTCAGAGAAGCTGCTGTCAGTATGTGCCATCCAGGTTTCATATTTAGGATATCAGAGAGATCTATTATTTGAATAGCTGCACTGTAGCTTCCTCATCCAACAAGCACTCCTCTATTGTACTTGGGTAAGACTCACTGTTTAGTCTTAAACTGGGACATGGAATAGACACCTAGAGTCAATAAAAATTCCTTTGTCTTCCCAAGGCATTCTCATTCCTTAGTCACTCCAACACAGTGACAAAGGAGCAGTGTTAACAGTTGTACATCTGAGCTTTGAACACACTGGTTCAATATGAAACACCAAAAGGTGCTGTCTAGTTTCAGAGAATGTTCCTATCTTCCATCTCTGAAAACAGAGAGCAACCCCCAGTTACAAAAACACCCCATGACAAACCTGATCTAGAAAAACCACTAATAAGAAAACAACAGAACAATTTACCTTCATCCTGCGTTGCACTTTTTATCTAGTTTAGTGAAAATGTAAAATGAAATTTTTTGAATAATTAGGGTTTTTACATTAAGAGTCATGCTTTAACAATTTAGAATAAAAAAATGTATCATTACAATGTTCAGAATTAAATAAAACAGTTTCTCATCTGATGGCTTCTTACCTGTGTAGACACAAGGCCAGCAGCATAATCTGGAGTAGCATTTTCTACTACTGTTTCTTCTTTGGCTTGCTTTTCCACAACCTCTGTATCTACGGGTATAAACAGAAGTCAACTCAAGGAAGCTTTCCTGATTACTGAATCAGAATTACATCTGATACAAAAGATATAAACCCCACATATTTCAAAGTCTGCTAGTAAGCAGTGTGACTTGAAAGATTACCAGATACACTGCTTTTCATATGATTTTTAAAATACAATCAACCTAATGATAGAATGGCCCACAAACAATATACAATCATCACGACAAAATAACTAAGTATCAGGAAGTACTTGCTAATTTTGTGACATTAGAAAGTACCAAAAAAAAAAAAAAAAGAGAGAGAGAGATGGTAGATAGGGAAAAAAGACAAAAATTTAATCATGATTATGATTTTGTTCTGAGGCATTACTCAATTTGTGTTAGAGAAATGGTTTTAGGATAAATATACTGCCTAGTGCAGCTCCCTGATACTCTTAAATAGAGCACCGTACTACTGCTTGAATTAGGTGTAGTATTGAGGTTGTTATTCACTTGTTAAAATATCTTGGCCTAAATTTTGGGGAGACTATAAATAATTTTTACAAGACAACGTTAAATAAATTTATTTGGCAACTCAACTAGTACAAATAAGCACACCAAAATATATCAGAACAATTTTAGTATTGAAGCTATTCTCACTTATCTTTGTTACATATGGAACGTTCAAAGGGTTAGTAGCACAAGAGAGTTTAAGGCAAATGGATTAGCAACACTGAGGAGTTGGGGGCAGAGTGGAACTCCTCCCTTAAATCTGGAATTTCGCCCTTTTTGGGCAGGTGAGGGGCAATTTGTCTTTAAAAAACAAACAAACAAAACCTTAGCTAAAGATGACAATTTTAAGCTGAGAATCAAATGATGCTATAAACCTAGATCTGACTCGCAGGGTACATGAACAATCTTTTTAAGTAGCATTCTATACCAACCTAATGTCTTTCTTCTTCTTTTAGCTTCACGGCCAGCACCTACCATGTCCAGCTCAGAGATATCTAGGAGCTAAAAAGACAGCACACAAATCTTAATACCCATTAATGAATTTAGGTAGCAACTGCTATTTAAGTTATTGTCCTTGTGTTTTTTTTTTTTTTTCTCCTTTATATATGTATATTGATATCCAACTAAAATAGCAACACAAGTTCACTTTAGATCAGGGAGGAGAGCTGAGCAAGAATGCAGGAGATGAAGAAACTTTCTACGAGTTCACCTACCTTTACTCCTCTTTCTTTCCGCAGGGGTGTTCTTGAAGGAGGAATAGGAGTTCTGTTTCCAGAAGGATTAAATACACTAGGTGCTGAAGTACTTCTAAATGGAGCTTGTTTTGGTATTCCTTTGAGTGGTGCTTAAGGAAGATCCAAAAAAAAAAAAAAAAAAAAGGTGATATACGTTTACTTATTAACCAAGAACAACACTAAGGAGATCTCTTAGGTTCTTTCTTTCCCCCTTGTGCAACTTAGGAAGTTTTTTTTTTGTGGAACTTTAGGAATATAAGAAATATTTTTCAAAGGCAAGACTGGGTTTTAGCTTCCAAACAAGGACTAAAAGAACTTTCTAAGCTAATACTTGTAATCCCAAAGGTTAAATAGTTTTTGTTACAGAGCTGTATGCCTTGAACATGTTCAAATACATTTAAACCAAGTAATCTAACAGATGCACTGTTATGAAAACACACTTTTTCTACATACACTGATGCTCTAAGCCTTACCTACAAGGCATAAAATTCAAAAACCCTAAAAAGGTTTTAGACATTAGGCTTTGAATCTGATTACTACACCAAGGCTACTCTTCAAGCTTTTAAAAATGTAGCTACTCAGTAAAAACTGTACTTAATCAAAGATTTTGGGTACAGCTGGTTAACCTTTCTGTAATGAGTAACACGAACATTCCTGCTTGCGTGTGATTTGCGGTTACTGAAGAGCCTCAACATATCACAGGCAGCAGTGGGACTGCAGGCCGTCAGACTTGGATTTGTTTGTTGAGACATGTCAAGGATAGCACGGAAGAATCAAGATTCACAATGTCCTGGTAGAGCAGAAATTGTTCTGGTGCAAGCCAAGTTCTTGCAGGGTGACCAACCTCCCTACCTTTGTGAACCACAAATCAAAACGTATATAGGGCCCCATGGCAGCGCACACAGCCACAGCTAAGCGAGCAGAAGGGCTCTGAAGGCAAGTTAAGAAGATAACGGGAATCCCCTCACCAGAGGTGTCACCACTTCACTGCAACATGGGGAGGCTGGTAGCCTCCAGAGGACCCACAGAGGAAGCTCTCTCATCAGCTGAGGTTCAGGAACTCAGAACACAGCAGCTCCCACGTGGAGATACCTCAGCTATCAGTCATGCGTGGGAGCCACACCTGGACAGTTTATAAACTGCAAGTGGCCACCCCAGCTTGTTTCAAAGTGTCTTGAATCACTACCTTTATTATAAATAATATAGGTCTCTAACATCTCAGTTTCTGGTTTCCCCCTGCAAAGAATGACTACACCTTGAACCTCTGAACATAAGGCACAAATCTTGATCTCCAAGGCTTTCAAAGGCCCCACTCCCAACCTTTTAAATAACAAGGAATGAAAAATCCAATGCCTTGAATTTGGGAGAAAAGGAAATAGAGCTCTAAATATTTTGGTGGGCGGGCTGTTGTCTCAGACAAAGAGAAAGTTCCCATTGGGCTAATGCTGTTATCCTGTGGCTGAGGGAATAAAGGCTCTTGGAAGCCACTGCTAGGGTAAATTACTGTCTCGCACAGAGGGGTGAAATTCTGGAACTGCTGTCTGCACAAGACAGAGGATCCAACTTGTTTCCATACTGCAAACAGCAAAACAACTAATTCACTCCTCGGTGGAAGCTGCCACATCCACAAAAGCAGCCTTCCCCCTCATTTTAGACGTACCCTCCATCTCCCACATTCTCAACATTGGATAATCCTCTCTGACAGGGATGTCTAAGCTTGAGATATTTACAGTAGTGCAAACCCTGACTGGTTCCATATAAGTAATACTTCCAGAAACCAGTTTAAGGTCAAGTCATTTTCTGTATTGAGGCATTTCTTCTTTCAAATTACATATGCACTTTTGCTTTCACATGTGAACACATGGCTAAATTTAGCTGTGCAATCGTTTAAGCTATGTTACTAATTTTGAACCCTTTTCTTGTTCCCAGTCACAACCTTATTCAAAAAACTCTAAGTCAGCACCATCAGTAAATAAGCTGAACTCAATTTTTCAACTTAGTATTAACAGTTCTGTATCTTTGTCATGACCACTAACAGAAATGACCAATGTGCCTTAACAGCAATTGTCATACTGTCCCACTAAAATATTTTGCTACTAAAACTTTAGAAAACAATTAAGAATATCACAATAACTGGCAGGCTCTTAACTTGCTTGAAACTGTTTGATAGAAATTATCTGTACTTTATCTGTTATTTCTAACCTAGCCTCCTCCAAAGGAAGCACAAATTATTCCATGTACAATACTTACTATAGCATTCTGCTCCCCAAATGCTTTCTCTACACAAAAATTCTACAGATACACGATACTTTCAGTATTTAAAAGACCAGAGCAGACTACTGTGATCCACTTGCTCTGTTTCTTTTTGGAGCAGGATGTCTTAGTCAGGAGTTATTCCTGGAGCGATGAAAATTAATCTCTTATCAATGTCTATGGGCGTGATCTAGCTGGATGTTTTAAACTGACAGACACACTTGCCAATTAAGAAAAACCTCTTGTTCTTTTAAACAAGACATGTCAGAAACATGTAAGTAACAGCAGGAAACAAGGGAGGCAGGAGGAGAGAAGTCCTTTCCATTAACTAGAAAGGAGTTTTATAAAAATAACAATAACAAAGAATTTTTAAAAAAAACAGACTTTGAAGTTTTACTCTTCAACCATGCTGTTCTATCAGATTTACTTTCAAGGAAGTAATACAAGTGAGTCATACTTGTTGTATCTATTTTTTTGACCAGTCCCCTCCCTTTGGCATGAAAAGGCACTCCTGCAGTCTTCTTGAGCTGCTGGGCAGTTTCTGTTGCTACAAAGAGAAGAGCTTTAGTTACTACAGAATCTGCATTGAAAAAATACAATACATTGTTTCTTATGTAAATATGCTGGTTTATACATATATTTATATGCACACATTTATATTAAAGTATTGCACACATTTATATTAAAGTATACATGTATATTAGCTAATAATATATATAGTACAGAAAAAGATGGAAATAGCCACAAAACAAGAAATACATTTTCATTTTTAAAATGGTCATTTAAGCTTGGCTAATGCAGTACACAGAAAAAATGCAAAATCAGCATGACAATGCAACTGACAGTAGCCCAAATTAGAAAAACATACATATTAAAGTAAAAAAAAAATGCAGGAAAAGAAGAACAATTAATAAATCATAAAAATATTAAAAGGCTTTATATACTCAAGTCACAAGCAAAAAAACAAGCTAATGCAACAGAGCAAGAGGCACAAGATACTTTAAGAACACTTAGTTAACACACACCAATTTATATTTGCATATCATATTTTGCTGTTATTAGTGAAAGGCTTATTGACTTTCACCCTTTACAGCCAGAGTGAAAGAAAGCATGAGCTAGCAGCTCTTGTACTCTGTTACAAAAATATACATACTGAATATACACACCAAAATATATGTGTATGTAAAATATACATACATTTTATGTAATACAAGGTTCTCAGTTCAGTTTTGTTCCAATTGCTTTAAACAAAGTTCTCTCACAGGTCTTCACAACCAATTGTTAATCTCTGGCTGTGACAAGAGAAAATATCTGTGCTTTAAAAAAAATACAGCTTTTTGTATGTTTTGAAATTTGGACAGCCAGAACGACTCTCATCTGCTCCTCCACACAACTGTGCAAAGTGGGGAGGGAGGGGAAGTTAGTCAGCAAAGAAAGACCTTATAACAAAAAATTATCACATATTCCTGTATCCTGGAGAAATCAACTGAATGTAAGTGTTCTACTTGCAAGCTAATCTGTTACTCAGCTGTATCAGCTACTACTTACACTTTTGTAAGAGCTCAGCTCGGAGAGTAGCACTTTTAGGTTTCCTTTTCAGCTGGAAGTGTTTCACTGGGGGTGTAAGTGGCCCAGCTAGTGTTGTCAAGGCATTTTTATTTAAGTACTGGCATTCCAACGGCAACATAGCTGATGTTTCACATTCACTTACTGCATAGAGAGTTAACACAATATACATGAGTAAAAGGCATCTCTCAGAGATGATATAAAGCATTTCAGAACTAGACTATATCACCATTTTAAAAGCTCTAGAGTTTCTGTCTAAGCATCGGGAGAGTAATTTAATTTCAATTATTAAAGGATTGACTAAAATAGGGAAGAAATTAAATTTGGTTGGCTGTTGTTTTCCCCCCTTAAACACCAAGTTCCAACTTATTTACACCAAATTTAATTAATCAAATACATTATATCAAATACATTTTCAAAGAGGAAAAAGGATAAAGAAGATGGAATTCTCAGATTCTACAAAACTTGCACTATCAAACAGAAGCCTAAAGAAAACAACATGCTTCACTGGTCTACTGCAAACCAAGTCCAAGACCATTTTTGTCCATTGACATCTCAGGGTTTTTTTCTAGGCAATCTGCTAAATCAATTCCATTTTAGTAGGAGAGGGTTTTACATCACTTCTTATTACATTGTTTGAAGTAGCAATTGCGCAAGTGTCTAAGTATTTTTGACTCCTTGGCACTCCACAGTTAAGTGGACATCAGCAGCAGAGCTCTTCTCATATCCATGTTTCCCACCTGATCCTATTCTTGTTGGTCGGAGGAGACTTCCAGCAAAGAGAGGCAGCCAGAGGCACAACACAATGGGTGCTACCTCCACGTGGACCAGGCTGTGCACACAGGGCACTGCATCCTTACTCTCCCCTCTTATGTATCACAATTTTCAAGACACAACAGTATATGGGAGAAACAACAACAAAAAACAGCTCAACTTTATTAAGCTGCAGTAGTTCAGTTATTACCTCCCAATGTGAACGGAGTACATCTACAATGTTATCAAAGCCACACTAATCCATGTGTTGTCTTTCCTAAAGATTTAGGCTAGTATGAGACAGTGGAAGCGCTGATGATTTGTGAAAAAATATTTTAAGGGGTTACCATTCTTCAAATATCTCAGTTTAGAGTGCCATAATATGGAATCAGTGTGCCAGGTTATAAACTCCGGTAAGTAAGACATGGCCTTACTGATTGTCCCAATACCAATGCTATTAAAATGATAAGAATGGCTGGGGAAAAAAAAAAAAAAAGCTACAAAGTATCATACTTCTGTAATTTTCAACAACAGAAATGGCTTACCTTTTTCTCTAAGCTCTCCTAAAATATCTTGAACATTGGGATTCTGTTCTTCAAGATCAAGGTTAAGGGAGCCAGTATCTGGAAAGGATTTTAAAATATCAGCTACCATTAAGACCCAGGGGTCTGAATCCAAGGTAGCGAGCTGGATAATTTCAGTCAGTGCCCCTTTCATCTAACAAAAAAAGAAAAAGAAAATCAGCCAATTGGAAACAGTTTTAAACAGGTTGTAGTTGGAAACTTAAAAACAAAAAAAAAGGTGCAGCACAAACATGTACAATATTTTACTACTGGGGAAGGGGAAGCCTGATTCCACACAGTTATACATTAACTCTAGAACTAAGCAAAGAATGAACCTAGATGAAAAAAGAAAAAAAAATAAAATAAGACAGCTTTAGGTTAATTTAAACCAAGTATGTTCAGAGTTTTTGGCAACTCTGTTTTGCTTTAGAATTTTTTTGGGGGGGCAGGAGGGAGGTGGAGTGAGGCAGGACAGACACGGACAAGTTTTTGCAGGAACATCCCCTTATGTTCTACACCTTGCTTATATTCCCAGTGTATCCCAACCTTACATTCAGCCATTAGGATATTCAACCAAAATGCAAATTATTTAGAATGAGAATCTAAATGAATACACAGCCCTTACTAGGCTACAGAATAAAACAGCAGACAGACTATGTTTACATCATGTCAACATAAAATAAGTTCTGCTGATTTTAATTAAACTTAGACTGAAATAAATTGTTTCATGTCGAATCAAACCATATAATTTGGAAAAATCTACTCATTACAGAAGTACACCCAGCCTTCTAATATGCCACAAGTAATGAGATTCTTTCCATCTGTTCAAAGCTTCTATAGAAAGAAAAAAAAAAATCATTTAAGCACCTATCTTAAAAAGGGGTTAAATAATATATAAAGTTAAAAAAATGATATTTGTCAATCAGTAATTTTTTGAATTACTGATTAATATGTCTGTGGGCATTAAAAATGAAAAATGAAATGAAAGTTACAATTTCTTAATTTAGTTAAAAATTAGATAAAAATTAAATCTCTCAAGCACTTTTAGACCTCACTATTCCAAGTCAGACAAACATTGACATTTCTCAATTCTGCTCACCCTACCCAGGTGTTACTGCCCTGTCACTTTAGTTAAATACAAAACTGTGCTAGTAGAGCAGCATGTCATTTGGCACCGCTTCTTTTAGTGCTCATGTCCATACACTTGCAAAACAAACCAGATCAGTTCATCTGCCTGAAAACTAGTATCTCCCAAATAGCTTTTAGCCTGATCAGATCCTTGCTGCAGTCACTGCAGTGACACAACAGTGGAATAAGGGCACGAGTGGAGGCAAAGAGAAGGAATGCAAGAGTCAACGAACATTTTCAATAGCATTATTGATTTACTTTGGATTACAGTGCCCATATAACCACCACCACACACAGTTTTAACTTGTCATCAAATTTAATCTAAATGCAACAGAGAATCAATTTCTAAGAGTTTTTAATCTTTGGAGTTCTCCATCACTTTCCATTTCTTTCTCAGAAAACATAGGAGAATCCAGATTCTACACAGAACAGAGATAAGGACCACTCTGTGCCTAAACAGCCCATCGAAAGTTGTTTCTGTTACAGTGCAAGAGGGCAGTGTGAAAACTATATTCAGAGACCTGTGCTTGTATTTACCCATCAGATCTGCTCCCCCAAACTCCCGTTTGCATCACAACTTCACAGAATCCTATGCCTAAATCATGTCTATTCCTACAGACTTATCCTAGGAAAGTTATACTGACACTGCTTTGAGAGCAGTCAAAGCTCAGGCAACTTAACACCACAACCCACTGCTGCACATGATTGCAGTTGCTTCAAGAAAGGAACAACTTGTTTGCCCAGCGCTGAACAAGTAATATTATCACATGAAAGATGCTAAGGGAACTCTCACTACCATATATATAGCCAAGCACAGTTCACTGAGCACTGCAAGCAAACCAGACTGTGCCTCAACACAGGTTTGCATTTAATAAGCCTGGATTTGAGGTTTTGCTCAGGTTTTTCTTCATAAGGCAATTTATACATATGCTCTCAGTTCCCTGTTCAATTTGTGAACCTGGCAACTGGGCAAAAAATATTTTTGTTTGTGGTTTTAGCATGCATGAAGTACAACTCAAAATAACCCCAAATCCTGCATACAAATTTACTATTACTCTTCAGAGCCATAATCCCAAAGTCTTAATTGTGCGAGTCTGCAACGTTGGGTCAGTAAGTTGGAACCCCCCAGCTCCAACTGGAGGCTTGTTAAGCATGAATGTCAAGACCTGATGCAACAAGTTCTGGCAGTTCTCTCACCTAGGATATTAAAGTGCTTTTTCTCAGGCTGCTGGCGCAGTAAGGCACAGGGCACAACTAGAAACATTTAACAAGAACGAATCAGGAAGAATGCAAGAAGTCTGGGAACAGGGACTACAGCAGACTGACAATGGCCATGAGGGAAGAATATAGGCACAGGACCCTGAGAAGGAGTGCAAATGGTAATTCCAATGAGACTTCTTGCAAAGAATTTCCATTCATTTGCCTTCAATTATGTCTAAATTAACATACTTCAATAAACCTATACATTAATGCATTTACAGTTGGCTAATAAACCTAACCATATTTTAGTCTTTCAGGGTGCACTAAGAAGGTGGTATTTAACAGGAGCTTACACTGCCATGGAGCACACAGTATTATTATGCAACACAAAACTAGGATGAATCAAATACACTACAGTGTGTGCTTTGCATTTTAATCATGAAACACTGCAGAAGTGACCCAGAGTAATACTAAACACACCATATTCCACCATAGAAAAATGAAAAGTATTACATGGTGGCCAGAAAGCTACAGAGCAGCTTGTTTTGAACAGAAACAACATAGCTGCAGTAATAAGACATGTCACTCCAACGATAGGCATCATCTTCCTCTCAAAATATTTCAGAGCAAAGTGAGCACAGAAGCACACTGTCCTCATTCCAGACTTGATTATAACGCCACAGCCCTAAACAAATAAATGAAATGCTGGCACAAAAATACTGCACTTGCCTTTGTGAATCAGGTTAACGAGAGTATAATACACAAAGTAAATAGAAGTAACTGTTCTGCCAAATTACCCCTGAAACTCTACTCAGCACTACAGTGAGCTTTAGGAATCATTGCAAATAAGCATGATTATCTAGAAAAGATTTAGCAGATAAAAGGCTGGGGGAGGGAGCAGAGAGATTCAGGAGCTGGCAAACTGCAGTAGGAAAGGATATTTTTGACAACTGTCTACATAATACACTTAAGTTGTTAAGTAAAAAATGAGAGCAAATTATTTCTTTTAGAGGGAATGAACAAGCAGTAATGAGGTTCATATCATGATTTTAAAAATAAATAAATAAAAATAAGGAGGTTCATTACCTATCCTACAAGAGCATTAAGAGGATTAAGTTGCACACTGGTATCTACACAATTATTTGCAGTGTCAAATTAAAAAAAAATAGTAGTATGAAAATACTAGGATATTAAAGTGTTTTTTCCAAAGAGACGGAGCTCTCACGAGAAGTGATTGAAGATTCACTTGTCTAGACTGAAGCCTTCCCAGAGATTTAGGAAGGACTAGCAGCCACTTAAATCCCTTCTAAAGCAAATACCTCCACATTTCTGAACCTCACATAACTTTTTGTTTAGATGTCTGCCTCTCAAAAGATATTCATGTTATTCTAACCCTCCTTTTAAATGCTCTTATAAAGAGATCTGGGGAAAAAAATAAATGTATTTTTGAACAAAGAACTGCTAAGCACAACCTGTTACATAGATAGGGGAATATAATTTAATGTTACATGGCAGAACAGTAACATATCTTGCACCCACTGTCAAGGCTCACAAAGCTTTACAAAGCTGGTGCACTGCAGGTTCTAGCAGTATTAAGTTTTCAAACGCCAGATATGTGCTTCTCACATACAATTGGTGTGGCTGGCACATGACAAGCCAGGAAAAACATATCTATGACTTTCCCAATGTAAGTACTTTCACAGTGAAGTTAAATAGTTCTCAGAGATCAATAACAGTCAAAGTGACTGAAGGATTTCATTTCCAGTCAGCCACAGATACTCTACATTGGTATACTGTAGAAAATAGGTGCTAGCAAAAAGACTGAGTACAGCACTGTGCATTACACAGCACAGAAAACACTGTACAGAAACATACAGCACAGTGCAGGGGGAAGGGAGGAAGAATACACACATATGTTTATAGTGTGTGTGTGTATGCAGAATTGACCTCTAGTACAAAACACTTAACAGCTTTATAGTTAATATGTCAAAAATCCAATATCAGTTAGAGTATCCCAAACTTAAGTTAACAACTTAAATAACAAACTTTTACAAACACAACTTCACTCTAGCAAATAACTTTTATTGGAAGAAGTATATAACAAAATAAATCAGGCCTACTAGTAAAGGGTTTCTAGCTCATCTTTTTCCTTTTTAATAACAACTTTTTATTGAGAGGAAGGATTAGAAAAAAAAAAAGATGTTCCTGAAAAAATTAATTGCAGATAGCTTGCAAAGCACTGAAGTGATAGTAACCCTACCTCCCTAGCTCTAGAAAAAGAATGCCCTGTTTACAGGTGAAATGATTGAATTTGTGACTGACTTCACAAACTCTACTGAAAAACTGAAAAAAATCCCACAACAATCCATTTCTGTTACAGCAGCAGTAGTAATGTATTTGGAACTCAGCTGATCACTTTAAGTTGATATTCAAAGGCAGAGCAACCAGCTTGTTCTTCACCATGCACTTCATCTGCATCGCTAACAAAAGCGCAATCAAGTGAAGTGGCTTCCTGCCATCTTTCCTAATTTGAATGAGTCTTAAAAAAAGAAAAAAAAAATCAAATATATTACAGGTCCAGTAAACTCTAGTGCAGCATTTCAGTTAATTATTTTAGTTCACTTGAGCTGAGCACTTCATCTGCATCGCTAACAAAAGCGCAATCAAGTGAAGTGGCTTCCTGCCATCTTTCCTAATTTGAATGAGTCTTAAAAAAGAAAAAAAATCAAATATATTACAGGTCCGGTAAACTCTAGTGCAGCATTTCAGTCAATTATTTTAGTTCACTTGAGCTGCTGCTCCTTCACCACAGAGCTAGCATTTGAGCATTACTTATGAAGGTCCCTAAACTTTTTAAATTCTCCTTTTCTTAGGCCTAAAAACACCACCACTTTTGTTAGCTTTGCCCAAACATTGCAAGACTACTTCTGAGCTATTCAGATTTTCATGCTACTCAAGAAGAATTCTGCATACTCAGAGTTTATGGCCCTAGTTATTTTTCTTTGCAGAAAACAAAATTGCCTTTGTCACACATAAATGAGAATTCCTGTGCTCTGGACAGGCACAAGGTACAAATATGTTTAAAAAGGAAGCAGAGGAAATAAAAGCTGAGCAAAAAGTGTCTTTTTATGAGCAGCTGCAGTCAGGTGTAACAAAGTAACAGCCACATAGATATATCTGGCAAGACAGACCCTGGCATACACTGACCTGCTGCTGAGAAAAGAATAGCATTTTGAGCTTAGTGCACAACAGAGAGCGCACAATAACACAAATTATGCACAGTCTCTCCACACTCTGCCTGCCTAATATATACTTCTATTAACTACAGTAAATGCAGTAAGTGGGGAAAAAAAAATCCATGAAAGGGGCTGCCACAAGCACAGCTGGGGATACAACACAAGAAGCTGGAGCTCAAACTACTCGCTATCTCCAAAACTGTTGTCAGAAACCACACTGGGAGAAGAAGAAGAGTTCCTCTAGCCTGGCTGGAGGAGCTCAGTGCTTCCCAGTCATCTCCAGCTGCCACCTCCACCAACAGCAGCTGGTGAGAACAGGGCAGCTGCAGGCGACACACAGTGTCCAGAGCCAAGCAAACAGACTAGTGGATCTGCGCTGGCACCCTGCAAAGTTGGACCAGAATCCAACCAGATTATTAGTGGGGAAAGGACAGAAAAGGGGAGACCTAGCACTTGCCAGAAAGGTAAGAGTCGGCCAAAACAAAAAAAAAAAAAAAAAAGGGGGGGGGGGGGCAATTTCCTCCAGCAAACCCTGACGACAACAAGGTAGGGGAAACCCTGCTCCACACAAACCCCAGATCTTCCATTCCCCAAGTTTCAGCACTTGCTGCTGTCCTTCCTGAACCCGAGATGTGCAGCTCGGGACACCTCCGCAGCCACCAGCATTAAGGGGCACGGGAGAGATCCTGCCCACGTTGCTGCCAGCAGCCACTGTTACCTCTGGGGCCTGGGCTCAGAGAAGCCCTCCCTGCTACCCAGATACGCCAAAAGTCCCCAAACTCCTGCCAAGCACATCCCTACGGCTACAGGGGTGCCGGACCCCGCAAGGAAGGCCTCGCTCGGGACACCTCCGCAGCCACCAGCATTAAGGGGCACGGGAGAGATCCTGCCCACGTTGCTGCCAGCAGCCACTGTTACCTCTGGGGCCTGGGCTCAGAGAAGCCCTCCCTGCTACCCAGATACGCCAAAAGTCCCCAAACTCCTGCCAAGCACATCCCTACGGCTACAGGGGTGCCGGACCCCGCAAGGAAGGCCTCGGGCTGCAGCCCGAGCCCGGCCTGTGCCCCGCACACCCCGCCGGGGCGACAGGAGCAGCGGCGGCCGCAGGGGATCTGAGCGCTTCTCCTCTTTTTTTCTCACGGCCCCCCTCAGGCCGGCGCTAACGGCCGCCGCGGGGGAGGGGAGCGCGGGGGCGCCGGCTCCTTTTGAGAAGGGGGTGGCGAGGAGGGGACCCCCCTTCCCTCCCCGTCACACACGCTCCGTTTCGGCGCAGCTCCCGGCACTGCGTCCCCCGCCGCGCTCACCTCGTCTACAGCCCGGCGGGGCAGGTGCAGCATCCCCAGGAGCAGCTTGAGCTTAACGGCCGAGGAGAGGCCGTGGAAGCAGAGGCGGATGTTGTCGATGACCGAGGCCGTGAGCAGCGAGGCGATGCTCGGCGGCGCCCACAGCTCGTCCGTGGAGCCCAGCTTGTTGTGCAGCCACAGGCCAGTGTCGCTCTCCCGCATCGACGCCATCTTGGGAGCGGGCCGAAAAAAGAGGGGATTCTCCACGGGCATTTTATGAAGACACCTAAAGGGAGGGAGAAGGAGGGGGGTGTGAGGACCTCTGCAGGTCGCCGTCTCGTTCGTAACCCAAAATGGCGGCGCCCAGTGAGGGAACCTCGCGCTAGGGAAGGCGGAGGTTCTTCCGTAATCTAAAATGGCGGCGCCCAGGCAGAGCGAAACAAGACGTGCCTCGTGGCTCGCTCCGGTGCAAAATGGCGCCCGCCAGGGCTCTCTTTCCTTGCCGTATCGCAAGATGGCGTAGCCTTACCATGCGGAGGGGTCTCTGCCAGCCCTGGCTGGTCGCTGCTCACGGCCGGCACCGGCTTCCCCGGGGCTCCCTCTGCGGACCGAGAGGCGGGTGCGGGCGAGCCCCGGAGCCGGGCGGGGCAGCTCCGCCCCTGTCCTGGGCTGCCGCCCGCCCGCCTTGGTCGCGGGGGGCACCACGGCCGCTTCCCTCAGCCTCCATGGCTGCCGTGGGGCTCGGCGCCCACCTTGGTCTACCCCGCCTCCATCTTTGCTCAGCCCTGTGGTGAAAAAGCAGCCCCCTTTCCCCACACTTTTATGAGCCTGGGCGGTTTATTAAAGCTAATGGAGCTCTAAAGCGCACCCACCTTGGAGAAGTCCTGCTTTGATCCCCCTCTGAGGCCCAGGGCCTTCCCTCCGAGCCACCCTGCGTGCTGGGGACAGTGAAATCTCCGTGCAACACCGCAGCTCCACGCAAACAGAGCTAACTGCCTTTTCCCTCCTTTTCCCCAGAGACTTTTGTGCTGGGCGTTGCTGTGAGTTAGGAGGTTGCTGCATCTGCGATGCCTGTGGTAGGTACTCTGAGAGTAAAATCACATTCCCTCGCGGTTCAGTTTGTATTTAAATATGAAATATTAATCAATTACTTAAATCCCATAAGATTTGGAGTTCTTCAAGCACAGCACAGAGGGCTCATTTTAGTGTATCTTCTAATTGAAGTAACAGCACAGGAGTTGTGGGGGGAGGGTGCAATAAATCCACTCATTGCTCCTCAACACCATGTGGAGTAGTTACCGTAGTCGTGTTCCCAGCTCCTGAATTTTGCTTTCGCTGTTTGCACCTAGTTGTTTAAAGTGGGCGCAAACCTTACAAAACGGCTTGAGCGAAGCACGTGCTCCGCTGTAGTGAGTTTATTGGAAGTATTTGCTGCTTGGCAGGAGAGTGAATTTTGGATAGGAATTACCTAAGGTAGAGATCTTAATGGTATAATAAGTATAATAATGGTATATAAGGTATATTCTTAATGTCTCACCATTAATTCTGTTTTCTGCTATCTGCTGCCTCTGAAAATATATGTTCTGTATGATACTGTAACTAGAAAAAAAATAGCTAAGCAAGGAAAGCTAGTAGTGTTTTCACCTTGGAACGTGAGGAGAAAATTAGCAAACACTTATTGCAGGGGGTTGAAGAAAGTCCAGGACGCCCTGTACTTTTTGCAGCTGATTGTGTTCAAGTGGTGGCTAATGCACAGGGTTAAAGTGTTTCCAGGAGATAGTATGAGTGGTTTTTTTTTAGGTATCAGAGCTGATAAGTACTCTACAGCTCCACAGCTCAAAGAATTGAGCAGCCTCTTGTTACCAGCTCACATGGACTGAACATTTTCTGGAAAGGTAACTTCGTTCTGGTAGTCTTTGCATGGGATTTGGTACCATCTTGCTCAGGTGATGCCAAAGCTGCACCCTCATGAGAGATAAGGGAGTTTTATTACATACATTCCTTGTTGTTACATTCCTTTGGGGCATCTATTGTTTGGGCACTATAAGGAGTTAAAGCAGTGAGTTGCATGGCCATAGAGTCTGTTCTGGTGTAGTTATTTTTATTTTCTTAGCCGAAGTGTGAGTCCCAAAGCAAGTCCAGTCTCTGACACGTATCTAGAATATGGGGTTTTATATAGTAAGCTTGGCGCCAGTTCTACCACCTGCAAATCTCTGCCAACCAGCTGCTGACCGACTTGGCATGCAGAGCTTGTGGAGGTTATGACAAAATGCCAGCTAGTTATAAGAGCTGGAATTTACTGTTTGAATATAGCAAAGTTTTTTTTGTTGTTGTTTTTGTTCTTGTTTTTTTTAGTAAATTTTCTCCCGTGTGAGTAGTGATTTTCGGACTAATACATTAAATACCAAGGTGCTTATTCCTCAAGGATTCATGAATCTATAGGTTCATGCGGTCTACTTGATTTCCCTGAACATGCTTAGTATCCCACATAGTGCTGGGTTACACAGATAACTGTCTGTGGACATTTTCTCCTCAAAATTTGTAATGCTGAATATCTAACTGTGGAAAAAGATAGCGTGCTACGAGGTGGGCTGAGAGGAGACAAGCTAGATTCACTTCCTCTATTGTGACAGTCTTCAAATAAAGGAGACATAGCCAAGGAGCGTTTGAATTCACTTTATATATGTTTTAAGAAGGGTAACTCTTTATCCCAAGTAAGGGAGTGGTGTACTGATGTGCAGAGGGCTCACAGGTGGAGCTGGCGTGGAGCTCTCAGTTACGAAGCAGCAGCTTTTACTATGTTCTAGAAAGCATCAGTTTTTACCGTGTTTTAGAAAGCACTGAAGTGTGTGCTATAAACATATTACTAGCATTAGTGGCACTACGTTCTCGCTGGCATCCTGCAGTTGCAGCTATGACAGTTTCTGAGCCAACAGTGCTTCAGAATATGATTCATGCTGTGATGACAAGGGCTGACCCAAGAGGATAGACAAAGCACTTGATTGTATAATACATTACTCTACAGTACACCCAAACCCCCACACACTATTAAAAGGATGCCATTAAGATTGAATAACTAAGCTTTTCAAAACTATAATTAGGTTTGTCTGTGCTTCTTTATTTTTACTTCCCTGTAACTCTGGCATTCTAAACACTGCAAAGGTTTAATACATCCAGTGCGCCTGTACTTTTTTCAAAGTGCCCATTTCTGAGTTCTGGAGCCATGGTACGAAGCAAATTTTATCATGTGGCGTCAGGCTGATACTTCAATCTTCTGCATGGTTAAGACCTTTAGACCTGTCACTGGAGCTAACAGGTGACAGGCAGTCGGGCTAACAGCCTTTGTGGCAGCTGTTCAACAAAGCTATTCTGTCAGGGGCTTCAGGTGCACACCATTTTAAGGAAACACATTTTACTTTCTTTACTTATACAATCAATTATAATTAAGCTGCAGTTGCTTCTATAAAATAGTTTTTAATACCAGTTTTAATACCTGTGAATACATTTTTAAAATTTTCATTCAGTTCATAAAACTCTGCTTGTCATGAGTTTATATATTTTCCTTTAGTGTGGGTGGTCTCTGGGCAGATTTTCTTTGTTAAAATACAAGTACGTGACTTTCATAACTCTATGGCTTTTTTTTGTGGTCTTTTTTCCCTACACACAAACAAAATCCTTCATTTTCAAGTTAACCAGTCTTTAAAAAATGAGTTTATTTGACCTACTTAAAACTTTTTGCTGTAGCTATGGGATCTGAAAGGTGGTTCTCTGAATTGACTCCAACACAAACAGGTTATTTGACTTCCTCAAATCAAGTGCTAAGCTTGTTTATGGGAACCCCTTGCATCTGCTCTGACACAGCCAGTTACCTTCCTTGCCGAAGTCTTTTGAAACAATTTTGGCCCTATTCTGGCAGAAATAAAAAAAAAAGTGCTTTTTTAGCTATGAAAAGTTTACTGGCAGCTGCTTCTCTTGTCAATGTATGTGCCATGATGGGCAGTAGCTACTGCCAGGCTGCACCCTCTGGTTGCCTCTGTCTAAGATGAGGTTTACCTTGTCATCCTACCCGCTTGCTTATGACTTCAGTTTGTTTAGTATGTTGCTGCAATTGTTAAAACCTCCAAAAGGAGGTTTTAAACCAATTATTTGAGAGAAGACTGAATGAAGAAACACTCTCATTTTTAATGTGCGTGAATATAATCACGAGCAGTACAAATGTTATTAATCACACGTAATGTGTAAAATAAAAAACTGTTAGAAAGTGCTGCATGTAAATGAACTTACTGAAATCATTTATTTGTGTGTGCAGGGTGCCTGAAAATGCTCTCTGTTTAGGATGAGATGACCAAGTGGGAGAAAGGCCTGGCTCTGTAGACAGGAATTCAACAGGATCATTCAGAGTCATCTGTTACTTGCTGTCTAAAAAGTACTCTGGCAGTTTGGCTTTGCTGTAATATTTTAGCAGCTGTTATAATGAAGTCGTGCTCCAAAATAAGGGTTATTAAAGGCAGGCAGTATCAAGGCACGTTGAAACGATGGTGTGATTCCTGACAGCGTTTCAGGGAAGGCTGTTTGCCTCTCCGTTATCCCTAGGGACTTTTGATAGCCAAGCCTCATCCATGTCTCTATCCTTTTTTTCTCCATTATTATGTTTGAGGAACTATTTTTTCTCTTCCTTCATTTTTAATGACTCTTTTTATGCATGCAAAATTTAGGAGTGTAGGTCTGGGAGAGACCTCCCACTGCACCACTTAACTGCCATGAGCAACATTTTTACATCCATCTTTTTATAAACTGCTAAACTCCATCTTACAACTAGTTTGTTTTTACTTGTTACGGAAGTATGGAAGCTGCTCCAGAATCTCATTGCCTTGCTGAAGGCTTCCACCTTCTGATTTCCAGAATAAATTATGCCTGTTTCTTTGAAAAAGTGCTTTTTCTTTCTGTGCATACCGGGTAAGTCATTTAGTTAAAATAGGATTTATCAATTACTGTGATTTTTTTTTTTTAAAGTTCTCTGTTTTAATGGCTGGGGAAAATAACCTCCACGCTCCTTTTGCTGTAGCCTCGTATGCAGTTGGCCATATTTGCAGGGATCAGCACGGGGACGCTCTGCTCTCTAGGAGCCAAATGCTGACCATGGTCTCTACGAGTTGAGCCTTGTGGTCCAAGCAGGTTTTGGTCTGAGGGACCAGGCCGTCCTTCCTCGAGAAAAGATGATTTTGTGTATAGATTAAAGTAAAAGAGATCTGAAAACTTGTAAATGCTTTGGCATTGATCCCATATTGAGCAGCAGGGGAGAGATTCAAAAGCCTAGGAGGCAGGGAAACGACAGGTTTAACATATCCTGAGAGGAATTATGCTATTTAAGTCTTACCATAACGCTGTGTTCTATCATCCATATCCTACTGCACTGTTGGAGAGGAGAGTCC